TCTTTTAGTTCGGCCGCTCGATGGTCCCGCCGCCCGCTCGGCTCCGCCTCCTCACCGGTGATTGGGCGCCAGCACTGGAAAGGCACACAGGCGACCAATCACCGGCGAGGAGGCGGAGCCGAACGGCCCTGCGAAAATCAAGCGGCCGAACTGAAAGAAGGAGCAGCCGCTCCTCTCCCCCACTGACACTAACGATGGGGCACTATTCTTCCTTCCCACTGACACCAACGATGGGGCACTATTCTTCCTTCCCACTGACACCAACGATGGGGCACTATTCCTCCCCCACTGACACCAATGATGGGGCATTTTTCTCCCCACTGATACCAATGATGGGGCACTATTCCTCCCCCACTGACACCAATGATGGGGCACTATTCCTCCCCCACTGACACCAATGATGGGGCATTTTTCTCCCCACTGATACCAATGATGGGGCACTATTCCTCCCCCACTGACACCAATGATGGGGCACTATTCCTCCCCCCACTGACACCAACCATGGGGCACTATTCCTCCTCCCCACTGACACCAATGATGGGGACTATTCCTCCCCCACTGACACCAATGATGGGGCACTTTTCTCCCCACTGATACCAATGATGGGGCACTTTTCTCCCCACTGATACAATGATGGGGCACTATTATCCCCACTGACACCAATGATGGGGCACTATTCCTCCCCCACTGACACCAACCATGGGGCACTATTCCTCCTCCCCACTGACACCAATGATGGGGCACTATTCCTCCTCCCCACTGACACCAATGATGGGGCACTATTCCTTCCACTGATACCAATGATGGGGCGCTATTCCTCCCACTGACACCAATGATGGGGCGCAATTCCTGCCACTGATACCAATGATGGGGTGCTATTCCTCCCACTGTCACCAATGATGGGGTGCTATTCCTCCCACTGACACTAATGATGGAGCACTATTCCTCCCACTGACACTAATGATGGGACACTATTCCTCCCACTGACACCAATGATGGGGCACGATTCTTCCCACTGACACCAATGATGGGGCACTATTCCTCCCACTGACCAATGATGGGGCACTATTCCTCCCACTGACACTAATGATGGGACACTATTCCTCACACACTGACACTAATGATGGGGCACCATCATTGGTGTCAGTGGGAGGAATAGTGTCCCATCATTAGTATCAGTGGGAGGAATAGCGCCCCATCATTGGTATCAGTGGGAGGAATAGTGCCCCATCATTGGTGTCAGTGGATGAAATAGTGCCCCATCATTAGTGTCAGTGCGAGGAGTAGTGCCTCATCATTGGTATCAGTGGGAGGAATCATGCCCCATCATTGGTGTCAGTGGGAGGAATAGCACCCCATCATTGGCATACCATACTGAAATAGCATACCATATTGAAATCAAATCTGATGTTTTTTCATTTTTATTTGGTGGTGTGTGTGGAAGAGGGGTAGTCTTATACGGCAAGTATAGCTCAAACGCTATATTTTAACAGGAAAAGTAGGGGGTCGTCTTATACGCCCAGTCGTCTTATACGCCGGCAAATATGGTAATAAAAATATATGGTATACATTATGAAGCATGGGCAGCAAAGTGGCTAAATGGTTAGCACTTCCGCCTGGCAGGACTAGGGTCATTGGTTCGAATCCCAACCATGGCACCACCTGCCTGGAGTTTGCATGTTCTCCCTGTGCCTGCGTGGGTTTCCTCCAGGTACTCCGGTTTCCCCCCACACTCCAAAGACATGGGATCCTGTCTAAATTGGCCCTAGTATGTGTGTATGTATGAATGTGAGTTATGGACCTTAGATTGTACGCCCCTTGAGGGTTAGGGTCTGATGTGAATGTACAATATATATGTAAAGTGCTATGTAAATTGATGGTGCTATATAAGTACCTGAAATAAATAAATAAATAATGAAGATTTCTGCCTTTTATTTGTGAGCTATATCAAGCCCATTCTAAAAGGAGAAGAAGCAGAAAAGGTGGACAAGTGGCTTTGTGGAGGAATCCTATGAAAGCTGGTTATAAGTGAGAGCTGTACTAGGCCTCTGTTTTAAAACATTGAGGTCCACCCCAAGAAGTTAGGGCACAACTGACGGACATGGTGGTGTTGGAAGTGATGAATAGAACTTAACATTCCACTGGAAGTAATGAAATACTCACGAGAACAATTGATATAGGAACACGTGGTTGGGACTGTATTGTGTGTGCACATAATTTATGAGGGTGTCAGTCTCTAGTGATACTAAGTTGCACTTGTTTTTGATTGGATATTTAAATTGATTGCATAAAGTTGGATAATTGATTTTTTATTTTTTTTATCATTGCATATGAAGGATATGAATTGTTATTAACAGAGCGTTGCTCAACTGTATGTATAATATAGCAAAGGACAATGGGCAGGGCTGGTTACACACAATCCACAAAAAGGCCCTGAATGGACAAAGTGACAGCCTCTTTAAAGTAGATATTTCAGGCATTCAGGAAGCTAGTCCTTAATAGATTATTCAAACTACATTCCAGCATAGAAATGTGTTATTTTGTACTAATAAGGAAAACTGAACACTTTAGTAACCCAACATTACTGATCATCACTTGTGATAAACAAATCAAATAAATCTCAAATTAGGCACATATGTGGCCATGTATTTTAGGGGAAAAGGTATTTTGGGTTAATCCAGTCTGTGGAAAACAACATGAATTGGCATTGCAAATATTCTGGAAAATCTAAATGTTTGCCAATTGCCCATTTATCCATCTTCCATGGTTCTGACTGTTCCAACCTGAAATCAGATATGTCTGCTCAGGGATACCATTTTTTGAATACCACTGCTCTTGAACTGTCTTTTTAAATAAGTCAATTAATGTCTTATGTATGAACATCATAGCCAGTCTTACTGCCATTTTCATTGCAATCTCCAGTCAAACAAGTTACTGCCTCTATGTTAGAAGAAGATCTTCTAAATTATTTATAAATGCCTATTCTCAAAAGAGTAATTAAGTAGATTAATTAATAGAAAGTGGCTTATTCAGTCCATTAATGGATTAAGCCTCTTATTTCTTCCACTGTATGGTCGCCCATTACCAGAGATGCAGAAAACACAGCAGCCATCAAAGTAGGGCAGCATTACCAGGGCAGACAGCATATGGCAAGCAGTATTCAGCACAGATCAATGAGTCAGTGGTGTGTGGAAATCTCAGTGAATCAGCTAAATAATACCTAATGCCTATGTTATATGCCACACTATTATAGACACAACCTAAGACTGGTCTTATTAGAAAACCCAAACTACCACTCCGGTGGCTTATTGCAGGAAATAATTTGGGGATGCTCTTAAAAGTTTAATGAGTTACTAATTTAATTTGTGAATGATGGAACTCTGGATTATTCAGCCTGAGGCATGTTTGGGTGAAGCAGAATGACATCTGCCAAAATCCACTTTTCTTTAGCAATACAGCAACAGAGATGATTTATATCAGACCCTAGAAGGGGTACCCTGCTAATAAAAAAGTATTCCAACATAGAATAATGTGAAGGCTTCCATTCTTCCTGCTGGATTTATATTTAATCACAAAGGTGTATGGGAACAACAAAAACTCCCAGATAGACAGAAATATTCACAGGAAGACCTTACTGTTGGAATATCCAGTGCATATAAGAAGCCAGAGCTTCAGAGACCATGATTCATGTAAATCAAGTAAAATCCCAAATATACGTGGGACTTTGTACCAACCGGGAGATTTCATGTGTATAAGTAACAACAAAACACATACAAAATGTATATTTTTTTTAATTAAAACATAGAATTAATAACAATTGTAACTCATGAATTGATCACTCACAATGTATACATTAAAACAATTACTGTCAATAGTGAGGCAGGTGAGGTCAAGTGAGTCCTAAAATAATGTGATATTGGTCTATGCGCAGGCATTGCTGCTTCTTCAGGACCAAGAAGAGGACGCGCAGTTCCCATATGTAAAGAGAGTAATTGTTTCCGAAGTATACATTGTGACTGATGTATTCATGAGTCCCATTTTATATGAATTCTATGTTTAAATAAAAGAAATTGGGTGGAAAATTGTTGGCCAGACAGTACCTGTATCCAATCAGATGCGGGTACTGTTTGAGTATTCTGACAGCCAGCACCATCAGCATGAGCTTTGTCCATCCATGTTGTGTAACATCAATGAGAAATTTGTTAGATTTCTTTAATTCAGCCTGAATTGGTGTATGGCCAGCTTTTTATTTAATTAAATTTTTACTTGGAAAACAAAAAATGTTTTTGTTTCTTGGTATGGCCAGCTTTTGATGACACATAACTAATCCCAAGCTTAAATGTACACTTTTGGTGCTACCTGTGAAAATGAATTTAGGCGCCATTAAATACTTCCAAACTGCCACTTTTGGACTATGTGGTCCTCAGTGATTCCATTCACCGACAAGGTGGACCTCACTTTTGTAAATGACACTCCTCGTTGAACGCATGACCTGCCAATACATTTCTTGAGCAGTGAATTTACTTGTTTAATGTAAAATTATTAACAACAAGATGATGCATGGATGTTACATTTAAAAAGGCCTGCTAATAACCAATCTTATCTCTCATTTATTGTGATGTACTATGAATTTATGCAAACATCCCATTTTCAACATTTCAGTTTGCACCTGAATTAAACAAATTTAAGAATTACAGAATATACATAATTAATACGGCAGAGATATACTTAACAAAAGTTAAAGCAATTGAACATATAGCTACTATAATACCAATGGTAATACCATTACTTCTGTTACCATTGCTATGAAAAATGCTAGCAGTCTTAATAAATTCAATAAATAGATGTACCTTTAGAATCACTCTAACCGCCTACCGCCCACCATATAAAGTAATGACAGGCACAAGGCGGTTCTCTCGTTCTGGGAGGATGTCATATGACGTCTTCCCATTCTAACCGCACATGCGCGGCTCCGGGAGCGCACAGCGCAGCGATTAGTGGTACGCTGTGTCCCTGGGACACAGCGGATCACGATCAACAGAAAGAGCCAAAGATGTCAGCTTGGTCATGTGATCAGCTGTGTCCAATCACAGCTGATCGCATGTAAAATAGGGAAATGCCGGTTATCGGCATTTCTCTCCTCACGATCTGTCACGCTGACAGCTCCTGAGGAGAGGAGAGCCGGTAATCGGCATTCCTCAGAGGGGACATGTACGCTGATCATCAGGGCACCGATGATCAGTGCCCTGATGATCAGTGTAGCCCCAGCATTGCCAGCTGTCATTGCTCATTAATGCCACCTGCCAGTGCTCATCAGTGCCTCATCAATGCCACATATCAGTGCCTACCAGTGCACATCAATGCCACATATCAGTGCCCATCTGAGCTACCTTTCAGTGTCACCTATCAGTGCCAGTCAGTGCCACCTATCAGTGCTGCCAATCAGTGCCACCTATTAGTGCCAGTCAGTGCCGCCTATCAGTGCCAGTCAGTGCCACCTATCAGTGCCCATCAGTGCCGACTATCAATGCCCGTCAATGCTGCCTAACAGTGCTAGTCAGTGCCGCCTAACAGTGCCAGTCAGTGCCATATATGAGTGCTGCCTTCTCAGTGCCCATCAGTGATGCCTGTCAATGCCCATCAGTGCCACCTACTAGTGCCTCCTCATCAGTGCCCATCAGTGCTACCTATCAGTGCCCATCAGTGCAGCCTATCAGTGCCAATCACTGCAGCCTCATTAGCGCACATCAGTGAAGGAGAAAAATCACTTACTTACAAAATGTTATAACAAAAACTAAGAAAAAAAATGTGTTTTTTTTCAAAATTTTCAGTGGTTTTTGCTTTAAGAAAAAATAAAAAACCCAGAGGTTGATTAAATACCACCAAAAAAAGCTCTATCTGTCTAAAAAAATGATAAAAATGTCATATTGGTTCAGTGTTGCATGACTGCGCAATTGTCATTCAAAGTGAAAGCTTGAAAACTGGCCTGGGCAGGAAGGGGGTATAAATGCCCTGTAGGCAAGGGATTAAAGGAATCAAAATTTCTAGTCCAAGAAGCTCTATCTTGTGGCAAGAAAATAGAACTACATTCATAAAATGTTCACAATAATAGTACGTTATAAGGCCTGCACATTCCGGTAACAGTGATTCTGGTTACACATGCCTTATTGATAAATCCGAGAATCAACTAGACCATGAAACAAACCTAACCAAGTCCCTGACCAAAACCCAATCTTATACTGGTGAAGCCTCCAGCACCTGTGATCTGCAGAATTGGAGGCAGTAGTTGGAAAAGGAATCAGAAGCTACTGGTGCTTCATTTCCCCAATTTCTTCATTCCAAACAATATCCTAACAATCCAGTACCATATGAGACAAGCCCTAAAGATGTACAGGTAATGTGTACCATTATTACAACAAAAAAGTAACCCTTTTGATGTGTCACTTCTACAAAAATGGTATGTTATAAAAAGAAGAGCTTTTGTTGTTACCACAATGACTGGTAAGGTGGTGCTTCTGAACACAGCAAATGGGATCCTTCCTTTGGGTAGTAGAGTGTTCTGGAACATGAACATACTTTTGTTATCCAATAGTTGACAAGAAAAACAAGTTGTGACAGAACCCAGAATTCCCTAAAACGGATGTGAGTGTAGTTATTTGTAAATCTAGTAACAGCTACTGAAGAGAAAGGCGACAAGAGAGAAAATGAGCCTTAGATTAAATAGTCATGAATTATTAATGACATAAACATTTACTTAGTCTTTTCTGAGAATGAGCCTGTACCCTTGTGGTTTCAGTGATCATATACTCTGTAGCTTGTATATATAATAAAGTATACAATGCATCTAATTTGCCTATGGAGCTGGTGGAAATCGATGTTGCTACTTCCCTTTAAAGCACTCTTTGAAATTTCAGAGTTTTATTGAATACAGCAAAATCCCTGCACCCCACTTATCCTTGTTCAAGCAGAAACAATCCCATAGTGACCTGGGTTTTCAAAGAATATTGTATTTACATTGTTTACTTCATTCAGTCACCCCACCTCTCAACACATGGCAACACAGTAGAAGGTAAACTCTTTAACCCGTGGTATAACTGTATATGAGTAGGCATGAGGAAAAGGGCAAACCCTGGTTTTCACTATTTTCTTCTTCCACATGTGCTAAAGGCATTATTACATAGCTTAAAATACATGAAGTGTCACATACAGCTACACCCCTATCCTAAGTCCAACCATTTCATGAGCTAATTTATATAGATAAATAAATTATAAAGGCAAACATTTTAGATATCGTTTGTCTAGACATATTTCCTCATCAAGGTCCCAATATCATGTGCATCTGCATCCTGTTAGATTTTATAAAAGCTAAATGACAAAGATAATGGACCACCTACACTGTGTCCGGCAATGTTTTACCTCATAGCATTAACTACTGAAAGTTATCAATCCAACACTAAAGGGATATTGTTTATAAATGTTACATCACCCAAGATTCACAAAACTTTAACCTCACCCAGTGATTCAACATTTTTATAATTGGAACTCAGTATACAATACTTTATCTGTGTGAATCCTGGGTAACATCCTATTTGAAAAAATGTATAAATAGACTCCCTCTTCAAATAACCGTAAGTGTGGCGCTTGTAACACAAGGTTTTTTCTGTGCTTATTCCATAATACACGTTAGACTCAGGGATCTGAACCACAATTAGACCCACTCACCACACCTTCTTACTTATGTTACCATTTATAAGCCCATACTAGGTGATGATGTTTTAAAATCTCAATACAGTAATACCCCTACATATTGAAGGAGTTTTCCATTCCAGTGAGCTCATTTGTAAGTCCAACTTGTAGGAAAAGACCAGCAAAGATAAGTGGCTTGCAGACAAAGGCTGTGAGCGCCTCAATCAGTGTGTTTCTGGTGGTGTGGGAGTCCAACCTGTCCAGAAACAAAAGGCACAGCAAGGGGAGATACGCTTGCACACCCCAATATTTCTGTCAGTTTAGGTACAGAGATACTGGTCAGTTTATTTTATTCATACAGTTGAGTGTGTGTAACCCATCTTTACCAGGAATTGGACAATGCAAACATCATTAATTGCATCTTTGAAAGTTTTTGCAAGTTGAATGTTTGGTATGTAGGGTACCTTACCAATAGCTGGGATAAATTACTCAAAAAAAAAAAAATCATAGCAGACCATACAATTTCCAAGAAAAAGTAATGAGAACCCCTAGGGATAACGAGTGGATGTATTTTGCATGAATTGCAGTGAAGATGAGTGTGTCCAAAATTACTTCAGAATCGTTTGTGTCAGGTCTGATCTGTCAACCTGACAGGAAAAGGTTTGTGGGGTTGGAGGATTAATGCTGCCCGCAAAGGAGGGTCAAACCAGTTAATAAGTTTCTCAACAAGATCAACATACATTTTCCTCCCTGCAACTTGTTAATATATACATGTTATGTGGCAATATAAACCAATCATGCAAACAGCTTTAATGTTTTGTGTTAGTAGTCATGTTCATAGCATACTGTTTCCTTGCAACTGAGTAAGTGTAACTCATGTAATTACGGTAACTCCCTTTCCAATTTTAAAGGGCTGTATTTCTTTTTCATACTTGCCAACAGAATAACATATAAACCTGGACTTCATATTTTTAAATGCTAGACAAGAGTAGAACCCAGGTCCCTGGGGATAGGGGGGTTGGGCCAGGGAGGATTGCTGCTACAATTTTCAATAAAAAATGTGAAATCTAATATGTATTCTAATTAACACTAATACCAGTATTTTGTGTGCCTGTGTATTGCTGACCAGAGCAAACACAAGGTCATCCAGTAGTCCACCGCGTAGATAAGAAACCAGCACTCCCTCCCATACCTATTACCCCCACCAAATCCCCAATATCGGTCAAATGCCACATGTTTGCAATATTAAATGAAATAGAACCAATATTGTGGTACACTGCACAAAAAAGAAAGTTTTTCAATTTGTGCCAAAAATGGGCAACAAAAGCAAAATTTCCTCTGGGTTTGGTGGGGCACCAAAAGGAAAAAAAAACCCCTGCATTAACATGTCACTAAAATTAAAAAAATTTTCCTGAGTCAAGGGGTGATTGTAAAAAAAACATGTCCCTAGGGGCGTGGTGTCCTAAAGGAAACTGTCCCTGGGTCTGGTTCATTGGGAATAAAATGGGCCTGATCAGTGGTAAAAGAAATCCATCACAAGGCTTCTCAGTTTTTCGACATAGGGGGATTTGGGCCCTTTAGACCAGAACCAGCACAGGAAACACTTCTGTCTTTAGAACAATAACCAGTGAGCACAGTGCTATGCGGAGGGGCAGTAACAGTAACAAAAAGACCGATTGAAGCCAGCAGTCCTAGGGCAGGCTTAGGAAAAAGGGCTTGGGGTCTGTACACACCCGCCTACCTCTGGGCACCATTTCATATAAAAAAAAGGAAAAAGGGCTGGTCCTTTCTTGTTTTTCTGGACCAAAACATGACAAAACAAGGGGAAACAGCTCTGAATGGGGAAATGACGTCACTACCACACATTGAA